TAGAGAGCTTTTTATTCTAGGAACATACTCCCGATGCGCAAATTGAAATGACTTCTGTCCTCCTTCTAGCTTTAGACACAAGTGTTTTGACGTTAGTACTCCGCCAGTCACTAGACTTATAGGACGCCCGCCTGTCGTTCGGAACCAACACTTGAGATTCTGACTGCCAGCCACCGTGCCGACACGCTGCATGTGCACATAGTGGGTGCAGAAGTGACGCGTTCGCAGGTGTGACCCAAACCGAGTTGGCTTTCGGCGCACGGGCTGCGAAGTCGACGGGTTAATTTGTGCTGATTGACAGTTGCAGATCTCGTCATATATGTCCATCTAAGAATAGACAACCTAGTGCTGTCGACCAACTGTGATCAGCGCTCTTAGGCTCGACAAGCAGCCGTTTGAGGTAGAGTAGTGGTTTTCTCCTGAAACCACGTAATGTGGGCACAGTCTTTGAAGACGGGATTTGCACTGCTGGAAGATTTATCTCCTGGTCAATAACCAGTGTTGAGGAAGAAACAGAACAGTCAGTCAGTCGCAGTGGTCTTGTCTGTAGTATGCTGATAATTGAAGAGGCAGTCTTAAGGGCTCTTGTGTTAAGCAACCGCCCATGATCTCACCAACAACGGGAGTCAGACTACCGCTTTTCAGGCAGCTGGCGCCGTTTCTTCCGCTGTGTCAGAATGAGGCAGGGCCGTGCTGTATGTGGGTAAGATGGTGACTTGCAAGCTGTGCGGGCGTGAAATAGGATCGACGGCTTACCGGGCCAGATAAAAAGACGACGGGGGGATGATCACTGGGTGCGGGATCAGGTCTCGCGTATCTGGTCAACTGTCGAAAAGCGGAACGAGGAGCTTCAGGGCCAGGGGTGTATTGAGTCCGTCGAGGGACCAAGCAATAGCGCGGAATTTGTTAATGCTTCAGCTCAGTCTTGTTCAATTCTCATTGCCATGCCCCCGGACGATGCGTGATGGGAAACGGAGGAGTTCTTAAAAAGTTGCAGGCTCCGCCTACTCGAGAACAGTAGGTTGTGACAGTAGTAGCATGCACAATGCACATGCACATGGGACTTAGAAAACTCCAATAAGGCTTCTTCCCCTCACCGAATTCACATGTTTGTGGCGTGGGTGCCAGGTAGTTTCAACCGCTCCTTTCGGAGAATTTATCATGTCTTAGCGATGGTGCCATGTTAGATTGAAAGGGGTCGGTATGGACCTGGGTCCAGGGGTGGACGCCGAGCCAGCACCTCCGGCAGTTTTGGCACATCTCACCAGACTGACACCAGTGCTACGGCCCGGCGGCCGGGTGCGGAGCGAGGGCTGGATTCGTACAGGCGCCGATTCCATCTGTTATCAACCTTGTAGCTCAGTGTTATAGGCTTCTTCATCGGGAAAACCCCTCGTAAGGAACGCTCCGTGTCATCCCTGGTCATCTCAAGAGTAGATCGAGTCATGTACCATGTTGAATTGTATTGCTTTGTGTTGTTATTATGTACGCCGTAGCGATGTGATGTGATGAGATGAGATGAGAGGAGAGAAGGTGAAATGCCCGATTGAGACTCTCCTGTCACCCTCCATCGCCATGACAGGGACGGAAGGTTGTCGAGTTTCGGTCTCGGTTCCCCAAATGCCTTGAGCTAGTCTTCCTCTGTAGATGATCAGATACAGTAGGTCTGTATGTATGCAGTGCACCACATCCAGATAGATAGATGGTCACCTCTTTAGTTTCACTTCGGGGTGCAACGCAACGCTGAAGTGCGCCTCTTTCTCGTGAAAACCCGGTGAGCACAAGCGTCTGGTATTAACCGCATGCGCGCCATGGCATTACATAGTATGGCAAAATGGCATCACAGGGGCCGCTGCTCGGGAACCGCGGGCAGAAGACACATCGTGGAAGCGGACTGGTGGAAATCTTGGTTTGACAGCCTTCTGCAATTTCTACCCGCAGCAGCGATACCCCTGTGAGATCGTCTCCCAGGTGGGCACAGGGCAAGCCACACCTGGAAGGAAGCACACCCATGCGAGCCATGGTATGCTCGTGTTCGAGGTCAAGGGCAAGGGCATGGTCATGGTCATGGCCATGGTTATGGGCCATTATCAATTCTGGTGGGCGTGGTGGTGCATGGCATGGGCTACCACTCTAGAGTACTGTACACTACTGCATTCCTACTCTAGTATGTACAGAGCCTATCCATCCCTGGGCCTGCCCAGCGTCCAACGTCATGTCATGCTTGACACGTAGCTCGCTATGCTCGCTACGGGCAGTGCTGTACCTTTTCGTACAGTACAAGGTCCTCATGAAAGGCGTAAGTCTAGGTAGCGTGGAGAGGCGTTGGCACTCTAGAAAAAGGAGGAGGAGGGGAGGATTGGGGTAATTGGAGAAGCCCAGCTAGCACCCGGCTCTGACTTCCATTGCATCCTGACCACCCTCACGAAGCACAACCCCCAGGTGCCGGATTCTATGCCGACGAGTCTCCTTGCTTGATAGGACGCATAGACAACTGCCCAGTTTACTGTGACCTTGGATTCTGAAGTTTCTGTTGCTTTTTGAGGGCAATTCAGGCCAAAGGAGCTTCATTGCCAGATACGGCAACTTTATGCTGAGACGGGATCGGCACAACTTGACTTATACACATGCATCCATCATCTCCTTTGCCAGGTGCAGGGGACGGTGGCGGCAAGACCACCCTACATCCCGCTGCCGCTTAGTCGAAAGCCATGCTGAGCCATGTACTGTACAGTACGCCGTATCCGCGTTGCTTTTGGCAGTGTTTTTGCTGGAGATTGACCCTCCAGCCGCTTCATGTGGAAGTGAGACATAACCGTCCTGTCTTGATTCCTTTTTCCTACACTACCGTCCGCCTCACATTGCTGGAGCATACTGCATGGTACTTCAGTCCCACAACTGCTACTTCTCCGCTTGTGACTATGACTGGCACATGCAAATCAGTACCTGGCCAGGCGTGGAAGCCATTTCGATAGAAAGGAAGCAAGCCACTGCTCTGCCTATCGAGGTGTGCTGTGCATCATTATTCACAATCTGGGCTTTTAAGTGACCTCGGTCTCGGCAAGCGAGCCGACTAAGAACGTCTCAAAGGCGTTGAGCCGTAGCATCGGTCGACGCCATCTTTTGCTCTGCCTTCCCAAGATAAACAAGCCTGGCATGCACGCTCTCTCTTTGCGTCCTTGCAGAAATGAGTGCCAGAAAATTCCGCAAAATGATACCGTAGCAGTGTCCTAAGCTCCCCTAGACGCTATTCCCCTTTTTGCAACGATCTTCCAGCCGGAGAATTCTCCATGTGCTCTCAGCCCGTTATCGTAGTGTTATGACTCTGGGAGGGAGCTTCTTTCGCCTGAGGAAGTCCCTGTCCTCCGGATTTCCACCGCCGGTGTCCACAACAGTTGCCCCTCAGCACAGCAGCTGCAGTAGTGCCTGGGTTTTGCTGTTCCGGATGCTTCCCCCCAAATGCGGGTGACAGGCAGAGAGAAACGGGCTTGAAAGGAACAGACCATGGGCGGTTGGCCCCGAGCCTGGCCACGCCTTGTACGCCTCCTGTCACCGCCATTGCAGTGTAATCTGTCCCAGGTTGAGGAACCAGGGCTTTCCTGCTAGCCGCGTGGGCTCTGACGAAGGAAAAGGAAACACAAGACACGGCATCCGCCTAGCACTAGCCGGTCCTCCGTGTCAGAGACAGACAGAGACAGACTGGGCTGCTAGAATACTAATGTAGAGCATACTGCTATCGCCGAGGCACAGGCCGATCATCTGGTGGAGACACTACGGGCACAGCAGGAAGCAAAGAGGGACAAGGAGCCCCGGACGGGGTCGGAGGAGGAGCACCTGGTGGGCAAGCAGAACAGTGAACGAAGCAGAGCAGACGCAGGAACTACGTACGTAGATCGGCGGTTTCTAATTAATTCGATCGCAGTAGAACCTACACAGGGTCCACACTCTTTGACCATCTTGCCGTCCTTCGAACGGCGCTGTGCTGTGCTTCTGTGTCCCGTGTTGCGTTATACTCCTCACTGCCCTTGGCATTTGAGGCCGAGAAGAGCAAACTGGGAAGGTAGCAAAACCTCTGCCGGGCTCAGACCACCAGCTAGGAGGGAGACCTCGCCCTGTACGCCACTATTCACCCCCCGAACCTACCTTACCCACCCGCTCGTGCTCGAGGAGCTAGGAAGGTGGTGGTGGTGTATTGTCTTGGAAATCCCCAGCCCCCGAACCTGTCTTACTCGAGCCGAACGCCTCAGACGCTCGACACCTTCCACAAAGACGTCGACTCTCGAGACCCCAAACAAATCAGACGCCTGGCAGAGATTGCAGGCGCTGGCGGTTGAGACAAGGTGGCCGCATGGGCGTCGATCTGTTGGGGCGAGACCTGCGGGCGAGACATACGAGACAAAAAGGAAGTCTCCGGGGGATGGCCCTTCCTTCGCTCGTGGAAAGGGAGATAGATGCCATGCATCATGTCATGGGACCATCCGCACAGAGACCAGTCTCGTCCAACGGTCTTTGCTTCTGATGGGAATCGGGAGGCGGTGGCCATGAGGTGGACAGATCGATGTATGTCTTAGATGCTCGTTACGTGTTTCTCTTCACCGAGTAGCTAGCCTGCTTCACTGTCACTGGCTCACGCGGCTGCTGTGGTTATAAATACCAGAATATTTTTTTTGCTGTGTATGGCTGCAGCTTTTTGTATATATGCACAAAGGTATCTCGATCTATACTTGTCGGTGCCGCCCCAATATAGAATACAGTTCACATTTCCCGTTATACAGAGTCATCCTGCCCTAGTAGGCTTCTACTCTTTTTGTTGCCCGCGTCTTGCCGCTGCCGTAGCCCGGCCCTTTTTGTCCCTTGCAAAGCCCGTGTAATAAACCCATTTTGGTTCCCGGTACAGGCGTCATATAGAATCAATATTAGAGTCGCACATCACGGTCGTATAATATACATTTCAAAAGCGGTCGTTACATTAGTACAGTGGAATCATAGTGTCCGCAAGATCAGACACTGCCACGCTTCATGGAGCTTCGTCGGCGCTCGAGATCCTCGTCAAAAGCGCTATCGCCACCGTCACTCAGGGGAGTAGCCCCCTTGCCCTCAAGATCGTAGTCTAGCCTCTCTGTTGAAGGGATAGGCTTGCCATCGGTACCTCGGCCGGACATGGCGTCGCTTTCGGCTCGGGCATTGTTGATCATTGTCGGCAGCTGCCTGCGCCGCGCGTTGATGAACCAGTTAGAGATTTGATCTGGAGAAAGACAAAATTAGCATACTTTCTAGACAACTTCGCACATACGCGGTATCGAAGCTGGTCCGGGCTCTAGGTAGACTTACTCATTTGCAAGCCCGTTTGCCGCATCAGGTCCTGTTTCTCGTCCTCCGTCGGATAGGGATGATGTAGATGAGCAACAAACCAAGCTCTGAGCTTATCCGTCGTCTCTTTGGGAAGATTGCCCCTTCGCTTGCGTTGCTTGCTGTCCCCACCCATGCCCATGCCACCTAGCTCACCGATGCGCATATATTCTGGATAGTGCTGGCCGTAGCCCTCAGCTGAAAAGGGACTCCGTCCATAGGAATGAATCGCGCCAGCCGAAAGAGATTGTACTCGAGACGGATGAGAATACTGATAAGGGTAACCATCCTGGCGGTAAACACCCGCTCCTGCGTCCATCATGGAGTCGTTGTGCTGCATTGCCACAGGCCGCGGTGGCTCCTGGACATAATCATCGCCTGAGTGCGTTCGCATGGGAGGAATCGCAGTACGCTCCAGGCGGAAACTCGGCAAAGTAGGACGGGGTCCCTGTCTGTCAACTGGCTCCATCGGTGTGGGGGATTGCATTGAGGGAAGACCGCGAGAGGGCTCGTATGGGCTCGTCCTCGACGAAGAGCTCCAGCTCTCTACTGCCGACCTCGGTGCTGCGGGAGGGGAGGGCCCCCTATTTGCTAGTCTGTCGCTGCTTCTTGATGAGCCTTCGTACATCCTTGGCACGCGCCCTCCTCTCTCAAGCTCCTTCTCTTCCTCGATGGACAATCGTCTCCGTTTGCTGGAGTTGGGAGAATGGACGTACTCTGGTGGCGTCATAGTTCCAGCTATCCCGCCCGTTGGCGATGTAGCAGATGAGGGGGTTCTAGCAGAGCCTTCCTGAGGCACGATGTGCAGTTGAAATTCGGGAATAGCCTGTGTCGGGTCAGTCAGCACAATTCCCCGACAACAGACTGCGTAAGATTACCTGACGGATGGACGGTAGAGCAATCCGTTCGGGTTCAGACCTGGGTCTTGAGGATCCAAACGCTGAGGGCCGTTCATCGTCCCAGGGGAAGTCTCGCTTAAAGGGCAGGTGAGGAGCAGGAGCCATGGCGAGCATAGACATTTTGGAAGTATCTCTAGAGCGCTCTTTGTCAAGATTTGTTCTTTCAGGCCCGGAAGGGCTATATTCCATTACAGAAAGGATCTTGTTCGTTGTCTTCGCCCAACAGTGGTATCTGGATTTTTTGTCAGCCCTCTGAAAGCTCCCCGAGATGCAGACCGGAGGATGCGATGACGACCAGAGGAAGAGCTTACTCTACCCACTAAGAAGGAGCCAGAGGAGGCTGAAGTCGGGAGGAGTAAAAGGCTGAATCCTGCCTTGTTTGCAGGACTTCAAATCTGTGGAAGGCTTCGGAGCAGATCGATCTGTCTCAGACAACACCAGAGACGTGTCTATCGTCCAAGAGAAAGCAGCACAAAGCCTGAAACGCTGATACAGCGATGGTGGAGAAACCAAACAATACGCCAAAGGGACGTATACGAACAACCAAAGGCGTGTTGATCTGATGCTAGAGAACGGGATACTCGAAGAACCTTTCAGTGTCTAACCGAGAGGTGGCTGAACGGCACAATATACAATGACGAAAGAGATGAGAGGATTTGGTGGTCAGATCCAGACGGTGCTCCCTTAAGTAGAACTACAATGCTCCGAACCTTGGGATATTGCCAGAGGGTAGTAGTATCTAACTGGACGGGCGTACAGATGTCGTGCCCAAAGAGAAGTAGCAGACAGCCGTCGACGGAGTAATATGAGGCGGGGGTTTAGATATAGAGGGCTTTCAAAAGAAAAGCATACGTGAAACCGTCACTAGTATAACCTGAGCCAACGTAGTTGACTGGCCAAGATTAACATGGTCTGGTCCAGGTTCAGCGGAGGAAACGGGAAGGGGAAAGCATTTAAACGCAGGCTCGATGGGCTATGTATGTACTCTAGCAAGTCAGTCTGGTGTGGAGATGCTCGTGAATGGGCAGGAACTAAACCTGAACAAGAGCAGACATGCGAAAGCATGGGCTGGGATAACAAGAGCATCCGCCAGACGTCTCAAAGGTACAGTACAGTACAATAGTAGCGCGGGTACGAATGCCAAGGGGGTGGAGGAGAGGGAACGAGAGCTGCTACAGTCAGGACAGACAAGTGTCAGTGCTACCCGCTCCCCGTGTGATGATGGGGAGTCCTCGGAGGAGGTAGACTAGAAGACCAGGAGGCCAAGGGGTTCCTTGACGAACTCCACCTGGGACCAGACGCGGACTAAGGTGGCGCTTCCTACCGTGGGCAACGGGCTGATTATGCCAGGCTCGTGGAGGTACTGGGATGGGCCAGCAGGGACCGGGATAAGGGTCCTTCAACAGAGAGCACTCAGCGTGTGTACATGATGGAAGTCATGGCATGCCATGGCATGGTTCGGCCAGGAGAGAGAGTGTGTGTATGCAGGTGGAGGAGGAGTGTGTAGAGTACTGTAAGCTACTGTACTGTACATGGAACCACACTGGAAAGGCTAGAAGAACGGCTTGCTGGGAAGCCAGTAACACGGAGGGAGGCGTGAATGTCGCAGCCAAGGGAGAGGGACTGAAGACGGGCAGTCCCACTAGGGAAGGGCAAGCGTCTATGTAGGGACAGGGGGATGCCACCCCACCGTGAGACCCCCCGGCCGCCTCCATGACGGTTGCACGCAAGATGAAATTGCCCGATGGACGCACCTCAAGCAGGGCGTTCCCTACCTGGTAAGGCATCGCAGATGCAGAAAGTTCGATACGGCCTGCCTGTACTCTATTATGCAGTAGCCAGGCAGGTAGTAGTAGAGGAGTAGAGTGGTAGTTGTCGTATACAGTGTGCACATGGTGCTTCGCTGCGTAAGGCATGTACAGCACCGCACGCTGTATTGTACGTAACGCTTGTGCCTCTGTTCCTAGACAGACAGACAGATCGATAGTCTAGCAGCGTGTGTACTGCGTAAAGTCGCAGCCAGGCCCGAAGTCCGAAATCTTTCGGCCTGCCCAAGTCCACACAAACAGACCCGCCGCCAATTGTGCTGGCGTTGGACGTAAGAATGTACATAGACCATGTTGGTGCACACGTTCCTGGCGTGCCATTGACGTGACTCGCAAGAGGACCGTTGGCGGAAGAAGCCTGCCCTCCCTGGTGACGTGACACAATCAAGGCAATGATTGCGATTCAGGGTACGGTACCTTGACAGGTCCTGCCACAGACGGGGGAACCGGAAGCCGGGACAAGGAGACACTATGTCAATTGCATCTTCTGAGGCATCTCCCGACTCACGGACCGGGTGGCCCGTCTAGAGACTTGGGACAAAGTATCTAACGGCGTTCCCTCAGGGCGGAGATGTGCAGACGCCGCGTCTAATGTCAGTGCCATGCCCATGTCAATGTCAATGCTAATGCAAATGCAAATACTGATAAAGAGGGGCGGCGGAAGACAGTCATGACGAAAGCACGACGCAAGGAGAAAAGCCCATCTCCAGCAGCGGGAGCCTAGCATGAGTAGCCTCTGAGGAACCAAACGTGTTGAGTGCTTGGTTGAATCCATTTTCGGAGACGCCGCCAATGTCAAGCTGAAGGTCAGGTCGGAAGATACACAATATGTTTCCCATGATGTGGATAGGTGTTCCGGAGGGCAGTCGAGTCGTACAGTCCAGCTTCTGGGAACCGCCTTGTGTGCGTGCACAAAAACACTTCAGCTACGGTCGCTCGGGAGGTGCCTCTCAAAGTTTTTTCGCCTCTGTGCGTCAATGATCTGCTGGCCCGCCTAGTGGTCCCGCCACAGCACAAATGTCCTCTCGGTCACCCACCCCTCAACGACGACATACTGAGGCACACTAATGTTATTAAGCTTCGACAGGTCAGCACTACGGTACTGTCAAACAAGGAAGGATGGGGGGATGGTCTTCTTCCTCGCAAGTCAGATTTGACGGTTGGCTGTGATAATTATCGCTGAATTACTTACGAATCCAGAGGCAATCTTCTGGATAAAGTCTATCCAGGATATGAACCAGGTACTTCCCTACTGTCAAGACGCCGGTGCATCTTAAAATCTCTCATTACGCCTTGCTGCAGCATACATAGGTAGCTCTTCCCAAAACATGCATGACATAAATGATGAGTGGCTCAGTGGGCTAGGAAAGTACCTTTGCTCCAGGTCGTGACGTGAAAAAGCCCCTGCAAGCACCGGGACAGCACAATAAAGGAATAATTCAATTTCCTTCTGCTGTTTGGATGCCGTCTCTAGAACACGGCTAATAAGACAAGCACTTCGGTCGGGACAATGCCACATATTCTCTTACCTCGACGTCGTACTGTACGGCATATCCAAATGCAAGCACTGCAAAACAAGCGCACCACAACGGCTGGTGGTCGTTGTCGTCAGGGGCGGAGCCCTTCAGCTGGACGAGGCTGCAGGGCTATCCTACCACCAAGAGACGATTGCTTTGGGCTCCTCCCTTTTACGGGCTGGGCAACCCACAATCAGCTCATGATCCAGTCTACTTCAGGATGGTCCATCCATTGGTTCAGTAGACTTTGAAACTAAGCCGGCGGTCTTGCTGTCTTCTGTCTGTCAATCTTGTCAGGGTGACTGACTTCCGTCACAAGCCGGGCTGATGCATATCCTTGGCCTGACACATCTTGCTGACCTAATAACATCGAGTTGTGTACAATGCACGGCTGGTAGAGTGATATTTTCGTAATAGTTGAACCGAAAACGATCCCGCTCTTGTAGAGTGCCGAGGCTTGACAAGAAGCCATATCCTGGAAAGACTCCAATGAGTTGTGAGGTCAATGCACTTAAACTAGCCTCATTAGACAAGTCCTCATACCCCTGAGCTACATTGACAGACCTGGAACGTCGAAACATAGGACTTTAATCAGACCGAAGCTTTCAAGGTCCAAAGCGTTGAAACTGTTGAACCTGGCATGCACAAGACAGTGTCACATGAGTCCATGAGGTCCGTCCGCGGTGACTTGAGGACTCCCCATGCCTCGGCCATTACTACGGTAATGCTCGGCAGAATTGGGGACATGGACGATCTTTGATATTACGAAACATAATTCTGAAGTCGACATGTGGTTGAGAACGGATTGTAGAAAGTATGTGCTTTCACGAAAATTGTCATGTTAGGTTTTTCCGGAATACCTGTTATGGTAAGAGCCACTTGGTCAACTTGGTCTAGTATTGCCAGTAGTCCCTGCCGGAAAAGAAACCAGCTAACCACCAACTAGGGAAGCCACAACCCAGCGAGGCGGTAATGCCGAAGCTACCTCACGATCTATCTCCGTCGACACATACAACCAATCTGTCTACGTCGAGACGTCTTCAAAGACGATAACCATTTTCGCAAATCGGGCCAATTTTGGACGAGATCCAGGGCCGGGACGATGCATTGCCGACAGCCAGACTCAGTAGGGCATGATCTACAGTGCAGTGATGTTTTAGCCCTTTATGGTGTGCCCTTGTCTTGTAAGACACCGTATCGACGAAGCAGCATCGATGACAGCTCGAATGGCCGCAATCGACGTGA